CCTAAACGGAGTTAGATCGCCGAAACAACAGCCCTTGGTCGGGTAAAACCCGAGTCATTCCGGTACGTAGCACCGGCTGTCGTGGGAATGGTTGTTGTTTGTTCGACATGTTTGCTTGGAATTAATCGTTGAATTTGAATTTGCTGTACACTTTCTTATAACAAATTACTCCGCCCTAATAAACATATTGCTTTTAATTACTCTAAATCTTACAAGTGACAACAGGCATGTGTTTTCTCGTAACGCCCCTACGCTTCCAGTAAAGCCAATGATAAATGTTATGGTACCCGTACAAATAAGTACAAATGCTGGATCTAACGCTATAAATGTTAGTTTGGCCAAATTACTAAACATGTCCTTCTCATTCCATGCCCAAATTCCTACGGCAAGCACACATAAACCAGCAGTCTGGAACAAATAACAAATAGACATACATACATACATATGTGTTAACATGGGCAGGCTATGACTGCCATTGTCTCACCCAAACGACTACGTTGCTGCTGAAAAGCAGGTATTTTAGGCAACAGCTGATCTCACTAGTCTCTCTGCGATATTTGCGTACGGAAGGCATATTTTGTTACTTCTTTATTATTAGAAATTAGACTGATTTTTACAATTGTTTTCAAAAAATTTGACTTGGATTAAATGCTACAACTTGCTTTCACTAAGCCTTGAAAACGTATCCCATGCAAGCCGTGTTTGTTGCGCCTTAATTTATCGACTGAGTTCCACTCTAGGATTAAGATAATTTTTAATCATTTTAATAATAAATTTAAAATATTGCCGTATATTATAAATTGCGTTAACACGGCAGTGCAAAAATATTTATAATAATTTTCTTATAAGATTTTTGCTTTGCTGTCAGATGAGGATTTCGCTTATTGGAACGAATGTCAGCGAAGAGAAATGGAAGTATTTACAGCAGTGTTGCCAAGCTTTTAAATTGAAAAAGCACTAAAAACCTAAATCGCGTTTATTCTCGAAAATATCACCAAATTTTCATGGGGGTATATAATGGACTTGATAGGCATACAATTTTTTTTTTTTTGGTAAAAGTGCACTTTAGCGAAAAGAGGCCAAAATTGATGAAAAAGACGCGTTTTAATGAGTACAACAATAATCCGAGACCGGAAATTCGTATTTTTAATTCATTAAAGAGTTATTCGCAAAAAACACTTGCACTTTTCGCACTATGTTTTAATGAATTTGACGCAAATAAATGGAGTAAACGAACTCAACTGAACACATATTCATTACTTTTTATACATTTGTGATGTTTTAAGTGTACACTTTCGCGAAATTCTGTATTTAATAGCAATATTCCGATGCACGATCCAGAAAATAAAGGTCGCGCCACTCGCGGGCCGCTAACCCTCTCTTCATCGAAATTTTTATTGGTGTATTTTTTTAAACTTTATATGAATACACAATTTTATTGTAAGGGTGCCGATTCAAATTAATTAAATCAATTTTTCTTGCATGAACGAAAGACACAGGATCACGTCTTCCCGAAAGAAAGAAAAAAGTTACTTTCTAGCTGTCCAAATCTCGATGCCATCTTTGTTGTAAGAAGTAAACAACGAAGAGAACAAAAAAACCGCGTAATGGTTGAACGCATGAATAATCATTTTTATTATGCGAATTCTTCTATAAATCATGTCGTTGTGTTAAATTATTCTTTACCTTATGTGTGCACACGTTGTCACAAGCGAAAATTAAGAAAATTGTAGTAAAAAGCCACCACCAAATTGTAAACAACGAACAAATGTAAATAAACGGCTAGTGTCAAAGTCGCTCAACTTTTTTCCTAAATGCGATCATAACGGGCTACTAAGAAGAAGGCGTGATCTTCATGATCCAACTATACAAGATCTGACAAGATGAAGCAAAAGAAAAAAGTAATTTTCTGGCTGACGTTTGTAATTTCGGCGCCATGTTATTTTCTGTGAAAAGTAAACAAAGAATATGAAGACGAAGCATAAAGAAAAACTGCAAGCAATGTTGTGCACATGTTTGTGCTAACCAATTTATTATTTTTGTACGTATTTTTGCATCCAATCACCGCGCACTTCAATTTAATTACATTTGCACAAAAAATCACTTAAAAATCACTGAAATAAACCACCGACAAAATACACATAAAGAAAGAAGCAAAACTGAAATAGCAAACTTCAAAATTACGAACGGCACACACTTTTTTCTCAATTGCTATTACAAATGGCTGCTTCTCCACCGGTCAGATCTGTTCTAATTGCTTCATGCGTGATCTTGTTGTTGTTGCTGTTGTAGCGGCTACAACAACCCCGCCTAGATCGGCTGATATCTCAGTCGTTGTCGTCGAGTTCCACTAACGGCAGCCCCAAGAAGCGTGCAGCCTCTATGGGGTCAGTCCATAGGGACGACGCCGTTAGGGTTGTGGGGTTTTCCGGGCATGCGAAGAGATGTTTCGAGTCGTGAGGGGTCTCTCCGCATGCCGGACATTCGTTCGGCACATCCGCATTTAACCTACACAGGTAGGAATTTAGCCTGCTGAAGTAGCCAGAGTGAAGTTGGGCTATTGTCGTTCTGGTCTCCCGAGGCAGATGGAGCTCCGTCATATCAATGTCCGGTGTTTGTGTGCCTAGGATGGCATTCACAGGTCTTGAGTCTACATAATTCGAGACTGCGTCCCTGTGAATGCCGTTCAGGGCCTGTGTATGAGCTGACGGGTCCAGAGGCTGCTTAATGAACCTCTGGACTCCGTCCGTCAGTTCATATAGATGCCTCCTGATGTGCCTCGGCGAGGGATCCTCTGCAAGCAGCTGTCTATTTGGGTGGCCACATCTGTGGCTCCCAACAAGAAACTGCTTGCAGAGCATCGTGTTGTGCTCCCTAATTGGGAGCATTTTTGGCTCATCGTTTAGGTGGTGTTCTGGTGACATCAGGAGGCATCCGGTCGCTCTCCTAAGTGCTGTATTTTGTACCGTCTGTAGCTTCGTCCACTGCGTCCTACTAGTCCCCGGCGACCACACTGTTGCGGCTTTGTACTTTATTGACAATAGCGGTTGTGTGCGCAGAGAAGGAGGGCATGCTGTCGAATGTTACTCCGAGTATTTTAGGATTATTCACCGTCGGAATTGGTATGTCATCGATGTGAATTCCTAGCGGTAGGCTGACCTCCTTCGTCCAGGTTTTGAACAGGGTCGCAGAGGATTTCGTAGGGGAGAGGGCTAGACACTTTGCAGTGAAGAAGCGAGAAAGTTCGGAGAGATATCCGTTTACTTTCGAACACAGGTCATCAATTCCATTCCCAGTCGCCATGATCGAGCAATCGTCGGCGTAAGAGACAATCGAGACTCCCTCTGGTGGTTGAGGGAGCTTTGAAATGTAAAAGTTAAACAGTAGTGGGGAAAGGACACCACCCTGTGGAACCCCCTTTTTTATTTTTCTAAGTTTGCTCGATTTGTCTGTAAACATTACCGACAAGTGTCGACCACTCAGATAATTTGCCGACCACCGTTTGAGCCTCTGTGGGAGAGAGGAAGCCTCTATATCTTCTAGTAGCGTGGAATGGCTGACAGTGTCAAAAGCCTTTGACAGGTCCAACGCTACTAGAATCGTTCTCTCACAGGGACGTTTACAGTTAAGGCCACGAGTTATCTGAGTGTTTATGGCGTTAAGTGCTGTTGTTGTACTGTGCACTTTACGGAAATCATTCTGATGCTTCGCTGGGGCAAGCGGTTTGTGAAGTACGGGAGTAGCAAGGCCTCGAGTGTCTTCGCTACCGGGGAAAGGAGTGT